TGAGGGACGCTCATCCACTGGCCAGCGCAGGAACCAGGACTGGAGGTGGGTGTGTTAGGGTTATTAGGGGCAGTTCTGACTAGGCTGCAGCTCTCACTGGTGTGCGTGAGGGCCAAGTGTGATGTGGGCAGTGTTGGGCTGGACCTACATTGTTCTGACTATGAAATGGGGCTGGGTAATTGGCCAGGCAATGGACTCTACCAGTGTGTGTAGGCTGACGTGGGTGACAGACTGAGCCAGACCCCTCACTAATTGGCACACACAGGAGTCAGGTCAAGTGTCATCTGAGGCAGGGTTTTTGGGGGACCCTCCCAACTGGACCACTGGACTCAAAACTCCAACCACGGGGAAAATCGCAGGGTCTGTGGTCTGACCATGGAGTGTATGTCAGAACGGGGTCTCCTTGGTTGCTGAAACCTGAGCAGTGGACAACATGTCCAGGTGCACATGGGGGACATGAACACTTTTTGAGGCCTGCAGAGAATGTCCAGTACCATGGCAGACGATGGAGGGCAGAACAATATGGACCACAAACATCTGGGCATGTGAAGACTCTAAGGTGGCCTACGTTGGCCAACGGACCCTGGAGGAATTGCCTCCATCTGGGAGCAATGAGATCAACAGCATCCCAGAACTATCAGAATCACTTCAGCAGTACCCTCAGAGCATACTCTGCATCAGGGACCATGGGGTGACAACGGGTGGCTGATGTCCCCAGGTACTGAAATGGCCGGGCTACTCGGCCTTCTCCCCTTCTTTCCCCATGTCCCCCAGACACAAGAAGAAAAAAATGGAAGCAATTGTTTCATCCACTTTCCTCCATATCTCAACTCTTCCTGCCCTAATCAGTGGTCTACATGGGCATACATCCTTCTCAATTATGCAAATGTCATGAAAAGTAAAATAAATTTATAAAATTAAAAGGAAAGTATATATAAGTTACACAACTTACATATAATTTCTAAAAGCAAAAATAAAAAAAAAAACCTGTTTTCAGAAGGCAGAACAAGTAAGTGAAACTCAAGAGAAAGTGGCAATCACTTTTATCCATATGAGTATTACTTTTTATATAAAGTGTCACCCGTCCTATGACAAAACAACATCCTGCTAAGATTGTTTAATGCCTCTGCCTGGGGTGTCGCAGTGGCCTAAGCCTCTGTCTGTGACACCAGCATCACACATGAGTGCTGATTTGAGTCCCAGCTGCTCCACTTCTGATCCAGCTCCCTGCTTCTGGCCAGAGAAAGCAGCAGAGGACGGCCCAAGTCCTGGGGACCCTGCGCCCAGGTGGGAGACCCGGATCAGCTCAGCTCTGCCTGTTACTTCTATTTGGGGAGTGAACCAGCAGATGGAAGATATCTCTCTCTGTGAAATCTGCCTTCCAAATAAAAACAAATCTCCTTTAAAGAAGGAGAGCCCTCCATGCGCATTCTGCAATAAGCTGTGATAAAGCATGGCATGGATCTCCCACGTAGGGGCAGGGGCCAGGTACTCGGGTCACCTTCCCCCGCTTTCCCAGGTCCGTCAGCAAGAAGCTGGATCAGAAGTGGAGCCGAGAGGGATTCAATCTAGAACGGGGCGTTACAAGCAGCAGCTTGACCCACCGTGCCGCAGTGCTGTTCTAGGGACATTGAACCCTACAGACAAATCTGATGCAAGACCACGTGTAAGAATGCAAACTGAACTTTGGCCCCATCAGAGCGATTCTTTCCCAACACCAATCTGAGTTACGATGCTTCTCCCTGCCAATGCTTTCCTTCACAAAGCCTGTGGCCCCATCCTCAGTAGACATGGTGTCTGAAATGTGTTTAATGTTCTTGTTTCTTCCAAATTCACCTGTGAGCATCCGGGCCTCCAACGCAGTGGTCTTAGGGAGGTAGGCCAAGGGGGTGCAGAGGCCCTGCCCTGTCACAGCATGAGACAGACACGGCACCGCCTGTGGCCAATGAGTGAACCCGAATCAGGCACTGGACCTGCACCCTGATCTCCGACTTCTGACCTCCGGAACAGCGGGAACCGCCAACCCTGCCCTGACGATGGCATTTCTGCTGTGGTCCCCGGGACAAGACAAACCCTGCTCTCAACCCGGACACCACTCCCATCTCTGCTTCCACCTCTCCCGCTGCCATGGTAGGCACTTGTGATTTGCTTTCCTCATTTCCATTCTCTCACTAACTCCCCAAGCACCCAGCTGACCCAAAGGGAAGCTCCAACTTCCACCCCTGGACTTCCCCGTGACTACAAAGCACCACCAGGGCTCTCCCCATTCCCAGCCTCACCTCCCAGGCTCTTCTCAGAGCAGCTGGCTGTCTGCTCACGCAGGGTGGGGGTGTGGCACTGCATACTCCGTGGTGACAGCAACACGTTTGAGGCTGGCTGACCTTTCAAGAGGTGCCCTCTTGCAACAGCCCAACTGGCACATGGCATCATAGCAGAAGTGCATGCCAGGGGGAGGGGTCACAAGGCCACACAGGAGTCCTGGGGGAAAGACCAGGGAGGGGTTGCGAGTGTCCATTGAGAACACTGCCGATTCCTGGTTCAGGCAGCGATCTCAAAAACCAAATTACCCACTAGGTTCTGCCTTGTAAATGTCCCCGCCTCACCCACCCAGTCCCCAATCATGAGTCAGTAGGGGCCAACCTCAGCCAAGCCACAGCCTGGGACCACCTGGCCTTTTCTGAGAGTGGCCTGCCCACTGCTTCCTGGGGACCTTGATGTCCAGCCTTCTTCTCGTTGCTGTTGTTGTTTGTTTGTTGTTTTCTTGTTTTTAAATTTAACTGATGTTTACATTGTTGGTCATGGTGGGAAGGATTGAGGGAAGCGAGACTATTGTTTCCAAATTTTCCTTTTCTTCTTCCTGTATCTGGGGGAAGGAGGGAGATAAAGGGAGGAGGAGCCTCACCCAGCCCCCCAACAGCTCCAGTACCTGGGGATGGGGAATGGCTACCCAATATCAACCCAGGGCCCGATGTGGCGCATGCTCCAAGGGTTCCCTCAAGCAGTTTTGATAGTTCGAAATGCTGTCAATTGCACCGATCCAAGGATGAGGAAATCCTTGCAATGTCCATTGGCTGACACAGTCGACCTTGGAGATATTTTCTGTCATGGCTTCGTTGGGGTAGTTGTCCAATTTGTTCTGCCCTCCTTCCTCTGCTGTGGTACCAGATGCCCTTTGTGGCCCCAGTGGGTTGCCATATCCTCCATGTGCATCTGAGCCTACCATCCACTGCTCCATCTTTTCCGCTCAGGAGGCCCACCAATCCTAGACATGAACCCTCATGTCCCCACACACCCCTACCTGTGCCATCACCAGACCCTCTGCAGCCTCACACACCAACCCCCCACAAGTGCACCACCGGGTGGCCAATAGACTTCCCCCCTAGTGATACCCCAGGCCACCGGACCCAGGCACCCCGTCCTCAAGGCTCACAGATCCGACACATCCCTCCCCCACCCCTACATATTTTTAGGGAAAAAGAATAGAATAGACAAAATGACTATGCTGGCACACTGGTATGGTTAACACAGATCTGTCATTAACCAGGTCCAGGATGCCCACCAGCTGTGGCTGCTTTTCTCCCAGCAGTGGAACACGGGCCTGGGTACAATGCAACCTAGGCCGTTGCCCACATCTGGGGTTCAGCTTGTCTACTTACACTTGGGCTTGTATCAGATTCCCCTGGAGGACTCACTACCACACAGAAAACTGGGCCCCACTCCTGGAGCTTCTGACTCAACAGTCTTGGGCGTTAGCCCATAATCTGCATTTCTAACCAAAGGCTGAAAACCTACATCACTGGACTTACTTGCACATGAATACATGAAAAAAAAAATCAAATTCATCCCTTTCCCAAACAAATATTCCCTGATGTCTCCCAAGAAATCCAAAATCATCCAGCAAACTCGGTGCCTGAGCCAGCTTCACCATCACTCAGCTCCTCCCACTGAAGGAACGCTGTGTTGTTATTTTAAAGATTTATTTATTTATTTTTATTGGGAAGGCAGATCTATAGGGAGAAGGACAGACAAAGAGAAAGATCATCCACTAGCTAGTTCACCCCCCAAGTAACCATAATGGCTAGAGATAAGCTGATCCAAAGCCAGGAGCCAAGAGCCTCTTCTGGGTCCCCCACACAGGTGCAGGGTCCCAAGGCTTTGGGCTGTCCTCCGCTGCTTTCCCAGGCCACAAACGGAGCTGGATGGGAAGTGGAGCAGCTGGGATTTAAACTGGTATCCACAAGGGATGCTAGCGCTTGAAGACAGGGGATTAGCCTATAGAGCCACGGGGCTGGCCACAAAAAAAAGGCATTCTGATGAACTTCAATTATTGTTAGCCATTCAAGCGAACATGAGCTTTGAGAGCAGGAGGGGTGCTTCTCTCCCAGGGGAGATTCCACCCAGAGACAATCTGCTGGCCTTGGCTGCCCTTGACTTTGCTTCTGGTAATCCAAGGTGGAGCCTGGGAAGGGACAGGGAGTCAAGGCTGAATAGTCCCTGAAGAGGGATGCTGAGGCTCTGCCTGCTGCCCTTCCCTGCCTCCCACCACGGCTGGTGGACAGATGGGAGAGGATCGTGCCTGGTCCATGTATGCTATTTCCCGGCCCCGTGGGTCCCTGACGGCCTCCTTGGGAGCCTGTGCTGACGGGAATCCCAGAAAACCCGGAGTTGGAGTTTTTCTTGCGTGAGTTTTCTGCGCCTGCGCTCTCGGAGGGCGGCTGTTCCAAGGGACCCTGGGTGTCAGTTGCTGCGTCTCTGGCCGGCTTGCTGGCTGTCAGCCCCCAGCCACCCTCAGCTCAGAAAAACACCAGCCTGGCGCAGATGATTCAAATGCCAACAGCCCTCGGGGGACCACATCCCGACACCCCCACGCCGTCTCCTTCTGCTTCTCACTGTGGCTCCCCCAGCCTATAATTTGAGAAGTGAAACTGAATCTTCTGCCCCTTTTCTTGAAGGCAGAGGAGGAAGCTTTCAGGCCATTCTTTCGAGCCCGTTAGTTTGCTCCAGGTCACACACGGGCCCTCACCATGAAGGGCGTCCTCCTCTTGTGTGCCTTGCTGCTGGCCCCCCGCGGCAGTGGCAGTGACCCTGAGGCAGCCTGGCCCACACACATGGCCTGCAGGAACGGGGACTTGCAAGTGTTCTACCAGAGCTGCGGTAAGGTCTTTTGCAAATTTGCTTCAGTGTGGATGGAGACCTGGGCTGCCGAAGCATTTGGTTGGGTGGGTGGAGGTGGAGGTGGTAGGGAGCGCGAAATGGGACCAGCAGCCAAACACTTGGTCCACCTGCTGTGGGTTGCTGGGGGTGCTTGGAGGGGAGGATTTTGGAGAACAGAGAGCACGGCATGAGACATGAAGAGGCAGTCATGGAGACCCCAAAAAGCAGCACGTGCAGATACCAGTGTGTCCAAGGACAGAGAGAAGGAACCCAAGTGAGCTGTGACGTGACACGATGGGCTGCTCCGAGGAGCCAATGGGAACCACTCAGTTGCAACTAGAACACAGTGAATGGCCTTAATCAGTCAACATTTGAACCCACCCCTTAGGGTGTGGCTTAACAGGCCAGTGCTGCCGTGTGCCAAGTGCACCCACTGAGGGGCGGAATCGCAGGAATTCTCCCAGGGCTGGAGGCTGGCAGCTGGGCTGGATTCTTTTTTTGTAAAATAATAACAATCTATTTGAAAGGTAGAGGCAAGAGACAAAGGGGTTGTTTCTTGCTGATTTACTCTCCAGGAGCTGGCAACAGCCAGGGCTGGACCAAGCTAAAACCAAAACTAAATTCTCCTGGTGAATGGCAGAGGCCCCAGTCCCTGGGGACACACGATCATGCCCTCTGATCTCTGCAACACTGCTTGTCCCCAGGGCGCACAGCCGCAGACAGCTAGAATTGGAAGCAGAGCCAACACGTGCTGTTGGAACCCCAGGTGGCATCAGGGCCAGTGTGGGCTGCCTGGAGAAGCCCAGTGGGTCAGACCAGTGTGTGATGTGGGCACCGCAAGGGCATCAGGGCCAGTGTGGAGCTGCCTGGAGAAGCCCAGTGGGTCAGCCCAGTGGGTCAGCCCAGTGTGTGATGTGGGCACCGCAAGGGCATCAGGGCCAGTGTGGGCTGCCTGGAGAAGCCCAGTGGGTCAGCCCAGTGTGTGATGTGGGCAATGCAAGGGCATCAGGGCCAGTGAGGGGCTGCCTGGAGAAGCCCAGTGGGTCAGCCCAGTGGGTCAGCCCAGTGTGTGATGTGGGCACCGCAAGGGCATCAGGGCCAGTGAGGGGCTGCCTGGAGAAGTCTAGACAGTCACCCAGGCTCAGGGTTCTCCCCTGACCTGACCTGCATGGAGGTCTGTTGTCTTCAAGTCCCTGCCACCAAAGCCAGAGGACTGGGAACCTCAGGAAAAGAGCAGGACACCATCCACCTCTTGGGGTCAAGAGCAGCTGCAGGCCCTGGCGGAGGGAGCAGAGCAGGTGCAGGAGGCCAGGCCAGTCAGACCACAGGGAGGACTGCCACCCTCTGCGTGACGCAGGCAGGTCTCAAGCACAGGGGGCAGACTCCTCAGAAGAGGGGGGCCTGGTGTCTGTCTAAGGAATCACCAAGCGTAAGGGGAGGATTTTTCCAGGTCATGTAAAATACACGTTTGTTTGAGCAGCCGAGAGAGGATCCCATTCTGATTCACTCCTCAAACGTTCTCCCTACTTAGGAACAGGCAAGGCCAAAGCTGAGAGCTTGGAATTGCAGGCAGGTCTCTCCACATGGAGGACAGGAATCCGCTGCTGCCTCGCAGGCTGTGCGTGGACAAGAGGGTGGAGTTAGGGTGCAGAACTCAGGCACCTGTGTATGGGATGTGGATGTCATGAAAGCTTGAAGAGTGATGGACAGCGGTGGCTTCGCCTCATGTTCACGGAGCCGCCGTGTTCAGCGCTTACCATACATTGTTCTCATGCCACAGATGTGCAAACTGAGGGACCTGGTGGTAGGTTCCTTCCAAGGTCACAGGGACAGAATTCCATCCATGGCACCGAGATGAGGAGATATCTGTGGAATTCAAACGAACTGGTCCCCAGTCTGTGCAAACCATGCCTCGACTATCCCAGCTGAGTGGACTCCGGGGGAGGGAGGCACAGAGGAAAAGAGGAGGGGAAAGACCAGGAGAAGAGGGGCTAGAATGTGCAAAGGCAGAGAGGCAGAGCCATGAGCAGGATTCCAGAAGGGCTGGGAACACAAGCGGGATGATGGGGACAGAGACCCAGAGGGAGAAGGGCCCTTTGGCCACGAGGAGGCTGCATTTTGGAGACTGCTGGGACAGAGTGTAGGAATGTGGGTGGCAGACTGTGGCCAGGAGGGACAATCCTTAAAGGAAAGAAACCACGCCCCCCTGGCCTGGCAGCACTCCAGCAGCCTCCTGTCGGGGCACGTCGGGCTGGCAGGAAGGACCCCTTGTCTTGCTGCTTCTACGGGTCAGGCATTCTCTCACACTCCCAGAGGCCTGGCCAAGCACCTCCCATGGACAGTCCAACTGCCTGCTGGATGCTTGTCTAGTGCTGACACTAAGGGTGTGTGGCCCCCAGGAGCCATGGGCTCCAGGACTCCATGCTGCCAGTGGCTGGGAAAGGGTCCTGGGATCACATTAAGGAGCCACTGTTCTTGAGTTAGCGTTCATCTGCCTCTTCTGCTTGCCCTCCGGGACTGGAGCAGGGATGGGTGGAGACCTCACGCTGGCACCTGTTCTGAGCGACACAGATGCCCTGGGTGAGGAAGAAGGAGGCACGGGCACATTCACTGAACTCTGAGCAACATCTTCTAAAAAATAAATAAAAACTGGTCAGCCCTATCAGGCTGCCAGGCTGCCCTACCCCCCTAACCTCCTATCCCCAGCCCGCCGCACCCTTACCCTGCAAGAGGAAAAGGAAAAGCAGCCAGCGACCTTGCTTTTGTCAAGTCACAAGACCATGCCCAGAGCCACACAAATTTCAGGGACACCCCCTCAACACACACCTGCTACAAATGCTCTCCCACCCACCCACCCACCCACTGCAATATGCTTGTCTCCATGCTGCCTCCAGTATGCCAAGATGGGAGGTTGGTCAGTCACATACACAGGTGGAAGAGGAAGCCAGGCAAGAGAAAGGGAGGGGCAGAGTGAGGGAATGTGGCGTGAGCATCTCATCTGTGTCCCTTCCGTGGCTGCATGGCAGCGCGCACTGCAACGTGGTGCTACTGCAAGGCAAGGCTGGAGCCCTCAGAAATGCACTCAGCGTCCTAACACTGCAAGGCTACTTTCTCTCCCTCTCTCTCTCTGTCAAATTAATTACTCACTTTTATAAAGAAAGTAGCAGAATGCCAAAGGGTATTCTCCTGCTTCTAAGAACAGCCTATTTCATTAGGAGCCTTCCTGCCCACGGGCCAAGGAAGGCAGTGTTGCACACCTGACATAGGTCGGTCCCTCTGCAGAGTAGTTGGTCGTGGAGAAGGGGCCAGCTCCATCTCACACAGCCTGTCCCTTGACCCATCCCTGGAGCATGTGGTCCAGGTTACCATGGTACCTGGTCACCATGCTTTTGGCTTTCCTTCAGCAACTGCCCCTGTCCTTGAAGGCGCTTGGCACTGTCTGCCTCTGCCTAAGCTGTCCCCGCATGCTGCTGGCATCTGTGACCTCCAAAACATCCCCTCATTACACAGTCTACACCAGGTCACCCGCACTCAAATAATCCATCAAGGCAGTCAAATAAGACAATTAACCTGATTAAGAATGCAAAATCATGCTGGCCACATCTCCTCCAACACAGAGATGGACAGCAAAGGACTAGCAGCAGAGTTGAAAGAACGCGGCATGTTGATAAAGCGAGAAAGCTACCCCAGAGAAAAGTTTCCTGGGAGCCTCCTAATCGTGCTGTAACCAAGCACAGGCTACGCAGACAAAAACATCAGAGATGTAAAGAGCTATTCGAAAATCCCACCCTGGACCCGGCGCCATTTCCTGCTCCTCATAGCTCACGAAATATGCGCCGGCCCACCTGTCCACCAATCAGACGTAACCTGGCATTTCACCTGAGAATCCTACCCCCAGTCTCCCCAGTCCCTTGCCCAACCCCGCCCACTTACCAATCATCCCCAGGCAACTTCCCTTTCTCATCTCCCATTACCTCCACCCCGTTCCTGCCCCGCTGGAATAAACTTCTTAAAGTACCTCGTTGCATCTGGTGTTTTCAGCTCACGGTAAAGAACCAGGCTGTGGGAATTAGCCGCGCGTGATAACCTAAGAACTCTAAGAACTTTGTTTTAAATAACTAACAAGAGGTCCTGTTCTCACGTAGGTGAGGCTTGCAAGGATTGCACACAGAAAGCTGGCTCTTAGTTTATTGTCCAAGATTCACGGTGTTATCATGAAGAAAATGTAGACAAATAGCCACAAAGACACAATTCCCAAAGGAGAACTTGGGGCATTTAGGATGGAATTGTAGCTGCTTAGAGTAAGGCAGGACATTTTAGCCTGAATTTTGGGGACAGGAAGTTGATACAGAAATACCAGAACGTTAGCATTCAAAATACAGATTTAGATTGGCTTGTGTGTTTGTAAGGCGGAATACCATGGACAGAGGTTTTCCATCAGCTGGCTCACTCCTGAAAAGGCTGTAACTGATGGAGGTGGAGCAAACCTCAGCCAGAAGCTGCGTGGATCTCCGCTGCAGGTGGCAGGGGCCCAAGCCTGGGATCCTGTAGTGCACTCCTGGGAGGTGGAGCAGACCGCAGCCAGAAGCTGCGTGGATCTCCGCTGCAGGTGGCAGGGGCCCAAGCCCAAGATCTTATACTGCACTCCTGGGTACATGAGCAGGGAGTTGGATTGGAAGCAGAGGATCTTATACTTGAAATGGTATGCTAAACAGGCTGCTGTGCCACAACTCTGGCAGGATGTAAATCAAGCGGAAAAAGAAGAAACATGACAAAAGCAGGTGCAGGTGAGCAGGAGCTGGGAAGGGAGAAGCCGCACAGATGCGGCCCCCTGACGCGGAGCAGGGATGCTTCACGTTTCTGTTGGCGGATCTGTTTTACTGCCAACCCTGCAAGGCAGTGTAGATTCTCCTACATATTTTTAAAAGCAGACACTGAGTAGCTTAGTGCTAGGGACCCAAGAAGCTAGACAATCTGAGCCTGGCTCTCAGGAGGTTTCT